ATTTCGCCCGTGATCTTATAATACTGCCTTTAATCTTATGTTTTCCTATCTTCTCCAAATAATTTTTCTCCCATTTAATTCATCTAAATTAAAATTAGCCTTATTTGCATGTGCACTTACTGACGAGCTGTGAGCAGAATAGGCTATATGACGTTATACCTGTACGGTTCCGACCTGAAGTTACCTTACCTATTGATAACATACGGTGGGAAAATAGCACCGAACAGGACGCGAACTGTGAGATATATGTATTGTAGGAAGTGTTTATCAAGTCCTATCTTCGGTGAATAGTAATACTCAACGGATGTAAATTGCAGTCTTTCTTACACATAAGGTGCTGCTATTTGCCTTTGACGGGGCAGGGTATTACATGAGACCTTAAAGAAAATAAGTGATGTTTATTGTGTCACACTTTTTGCGTCATAGATGTTTGTTGTTGCATGAACACATACACAGGTTGTTACAAAACTTTTATGTGAAGTGGCAGATGCAATAAATCATTTGCAACATAGAAAGATAACAATTTTAAAATTTGCATCTGTAAACACTAATTTGTATGTAAATAATGAACGCCTGATGTAGTGTCGGTGTCTTCATAAACCACCAACACTATGTGTCAAATGGAGATATAGATCATGTGTGTAGTATTATCGTTCAGTTAAGTCCTTCACTAGACAGTACATTTCTTTTTATAAATAAGTCTTAACTGGGATACAATTAGCTTACAACAAAACCATTACCGAAACCTGACGAAACAAACAGGCTTTTAATTTACTTCCGTGTAAACAACTGCAAAGTACAGAGTGACGTATCACGCTAACACCTTCTATGTAGTTCACCGAAATCTGACATATCAGACTCAATCTTGTTTTCTCAGATATTATGTGTGTCAACCACTTTACAGGTGACACAACCCGTGATGTTTGTATCAGTTGGTTGTATTTATATGCTACATAATATTGTTGAAACCAGCTCATCAATATATAAATTTAACTGTTTGTTATGGTATATATGAACTTACATACAGACAACATTGAAAAAATATCCCATTTATATTAATTATAGTATCGGTAAAATATGGAAAACATCAATCTGTCTGCGAACTGGACAAATTTGGAACTCAATGCGTAAATAAAACTGTAAATAACGAATAGGTACAAGGAAGTCGTAATGTTAATCAATGCATCAAGGCAGTAACCACAGACCTGTCTTAACCATGGTTTGTTCTGAGTCAAATAGCTACGATTAATAAGCTCTCTTACCTGTTGGATATTCCTGTGGACGCTAGATTAAGCTGAGAAGACGTGTATAACCAAGTTACTAAAACGTAATACAAAGGTAAACGCATTGTCTTGATATTTTTTTAAATTCTATAAATATCTCGCTATACAATTTCAGCCTGCACTACGTACGTAAACCGGTAGTTGTGATCTTGATACGCTATTTAACTATGCAAGGAACTGCTTTGAATAAAACTAACAGACTTCATTCAGCCTTCTTTGTTAACATTATACGTCACAAACAGGTGTTATGTATGCAGCTCACATCTGTAATTAGTATGTACAGTGTGTGTAGGTTTATTCGACAGACAGTGTTTGATTCGGGTTAGGTGTCCTCGTAACAGCCAGAGTTATATGAGGACGTGGTCAGAAGGTCCCGTCCATATAGAAAGGCATTGCTTGAAATTGGTACATCTGGTTTTGCCCTCTGTTTTCTTATAATCATGGAACAGAATATATTATTACATTTCAGTCAGTTTATATACAAAATGTGTCATTGCAATTAGATATTTCTTTACATTGCTGGCATCTGCTACATGTAATTACTGCGTTCATAATTTATCCATACTCAATTCTAAAGCAAGCTGATGCCTTGAAAAAAATGAACAACTAACCTTTAATTAACGGTTTCATGCTGTCCTAAATAATAACAAAAAAATGATCGAAATGACGCCATACACGCAATATATAGTTCTTGCGGCTAGCTTTATAATGCTCGATGTGTAACCTTACTGTGTATTCAGGCGATTTTTATGAGAGTTGTCTACCCTGAAACATTTAAACACAATAGTGTTATCAAAACGGGCATTGAATTTATTTATTTGAAACTCTTTTGTGAAGGAAATTAAGTGATACCTAGTAGTATATATCCTTAACAGAAACAGCATCAGTACAGTTTGTATCAGGATAGCGTTCCGTCTTTACTGAACGAGCCAAGCTGATTTTTACGTCACTCGTAATATCTATGTATATATCGTATATATTATGAAGAAAACAAAAACAATATTTTATTTAAACTTAAAGATTTCATAAATCTACTTTATTTACAACATTTTGTCGTGAGATTTATACTATTCCCACATAGTTATTATCACCAACAAACATTAAATATTTACATCATCTATACACATGTTAATTAAAATCTGTCACACGCATGTTAATTGATATCATCCACACTCTTTAATTAACAATAGCCACACACATGGTCATACCATCAACAAATTTCAATAATTTCTGTTAATACCATTCATACAAATTCATGGTAAAAACCATCCATTAACATTTATAAAGAATCACATTGACACACAGATTTACATTTCTGAAATAACACATGTCACAATCTTCTAAAACTACATGTTTGAAAACATACAAAGTCAAAACATATATCGTCGATATTAAAAATACATTAAAAGCGTAATAGTCTACATCGTAATGAACAATTGTGCGCTTCTTTTATCACTTTATCTTCATTAAACTTTGTATTTTGCTTTAAAGTATAAGCATTGCCCCCTATTGTTTTGTTATGTATCCATTTTATAACGCAAGTCATACATATCGCATTCCCTTTTTTTCTTCTATTGACGGCAGATTAATTGTCTGTTTAAGGAGGCCATTACTTTTACAAAAATAAAATAACAACGGTATTTAACTTTGAAGTTGATTTAGTTGAAATTTTCTTTTTCACGAGTGCTTAGCATCACTTATGAAATATAACTGATATTCATCACGAAAGCCAGAATATTCACTGTTTAATTGCTTATGTCTTGACACTGCTACCATTTATTTCCATAGCTATGTTTATTATGTCATTTATATGCAATTTAACATTACAATGCATGAACTGTAATCACTTTATTTTGCGAGAATAATAATAACGTTGATTCGCGATTGGAAATCTTCCACGAATTAAATTTCACAGATAAATACTACATATAGCAAAATAGAATGTTATCGATCGCGAAATTATGTATTCACAAATCAACTACAGGCATAATGCGCGAAAAGAAATACACACGAAAATAATTTCATTACCAGTATATCCTAAATTACACCATATGTACAATGTGTTACATACATATCCAACATTTAGTTTGTGTTTCTGTCCCATTAACATTTCTATACTTTGATGTATATGCACACAATGGTACACAAAATAGAGGCATAAAACATATATATGTTCTTTTTCTAAGTACCTGTGTATAAATATAAATTACAAAATATGAAATATATTTGACGAGTGATATAATATTTACAAATGGCATAAAACAATCACAACATTTTATATGCGACCCATATCAGTTGAATTATTTCAAGAAACAAAACCTCCGTTTCCATTCATTGAATCCCTCAGCTGAATTTGGTACTTCTTTGTTTTAACGTTATCAGTTCAAAATTGATTCCATCAGTCTGGAAATATATTTGGAACAAACGTGTCAGGACTAACGTGCTTCCATTGAACATCTACATATGTTAACCGTTAAGTACAGATAAATGTCGCTGTCTTTGATAACTCTGTTAACTTTGATCATGACTGATAACTGAATTTTTTATATCAAATGATCACACGAATAATAACAATATTCCTATGTAGATACTTTCGTGCTATATTCGTCCCGGAGAATTCGTCTGAGGATTTTTCCAGAAGGCGATTTAGGGATGACTTCCATGAACTCTACTCCACCTCGTAGTCTTTTGTACGCAGACACATTTTCTGGAATATCAAATTCAACAATAAGTAATGTATTCAAATTTCATTTTATATAAAGAAATAATAGAAAAACGTTACATATAGATAATAATGCATTTCATATTTTAATCACGTTACCAGATCAGATATACATATACGATGATAAACTGATTGTATAGAAACAAAGCGTTGGTACTTTATTTATTGTTGCAAAATATGTTAAACATTAAATGAAATCATATCTTATTTGTTGCAGATCTACGAATCATACTTTGGTTTTATAAACACTACCTTCAACAAACTTGCAAACTTCCTCTTGAGTCAGTGGCTTGTCAGGTTTGGGTACTACGTAAGCCCGGGGCAGTTCCCCTGCGACCTCATCCGGGACACCAATCACCGCCGCGTCCTGGATACCCGGATGTTTCAGCAACAGATCCTCCAATTCAGCTGGGGGGACCTGATACAGCGGTGAGAGACAGAGGTTAAACTGACAACGGTTCAAGTATTATTAGCTCCTACAGCGTAAGAAGTTAACTATGTTGGTTCAATTTTTCACAGGTTAAAGGGTCGGAGGGCACTGTAAATAGCGCACTCGCCTTTCATGAGGTCCGTGGTACGATTCCCTAAACCTTTCCGACCGTGGGAATTATCTCCGGTACTCCGGTCTTCTCCCTCAGGAAGACCACTGTGCGTATCCATCCGGGACGATATGAGTGATTGTTTGAGGTTGATTTAACAGTTTTTCATAAAAATTGTAAAATAAATTAAACTAACTGTTGACACCAGTCACGCAAGACACATCAATCAATTTCCAAACGATATCTATAGTTATTAAAATATTTCATGTTAACGTTTAACAAATGACACTCCGGAAAATCACAGACAACCGAGGCAAGTAATGTATCTTTAAACGTTCTCTTGATTGGATATAAAATTTATTTGGCCGTAAGTGCACTGGTGGTTATTATACGGGAGAAACTGGAATACCTGGAGAAAACCCTCGATTTGATACTTATATATATATATATATGTTCTCAAGGTTATGTTACCTGGAATCCCTTGTACTTAATAAGCTCCTTCAGCCTGTCGGTGATGACGATACAGCCGTCCTCTCGCACGTGTCCCACGTCACCTAATGGACATATAACACGAACAAGTTAGAGGTGCAAAGATAAAATATAACTTATTTGTCGTTGTTGTTGTTGTTGTTGTTAATTCAAAAATAAAATGCATTCAATGGGTTGTGCTGTCAGAAATAAGTATCAAATTGATTTTGTGGTCATACTCGCCATTCTCCTACTGTTTCTATATACATTTCAGTCATTACTGAATTAATTAATTGTACCGCACCGCCTATGAATTAAGTATATATATTACCCTTCCTATAAATTTCAAAGAGCATATAACAGCTTTTTATTTTAAATTAACGGAGTACCACATTAAACTTCGGAAAAACTCGTTTCAAATTACAAGAAGACGAAAACTTGTCAGGGAGAACATATAGCGATGAACACAAGTTGTTTTATCCTGTCAATAAATACATGTGATCATGTGTAAATATATTCCGGCCAATGCCGATTGCATTCTAGTAAGGGGATGACTATCCGATTCGAGCAGGGAGGGGTTTGTTTGAATTTTGATGAAAAAAAATAGTCCAGTCTTGACCGTCATGAAAATAGGCACTATGGCTCGATTCAAATGAAAATGAATGATATTCTGCCTTGTATCAATAGTGTTACTTAAATTTATAGTAGATTTTGTGATATTTTCATTTCCGTATCAGAAATTTGTGCTTGTAGAAGTACAAATAATCAGCAGTCATTATTCTTAAGAACAGTATCGCAACGATAAGTTTTATTTCATGATCAACTGCTGATAAAAGATCGAGCAGTAGATCAATGTTCAAGTTCAAATTTAAATATTTGTAAATATTAGGAGTTGATAATAGATGTAAAAATGCTTCCGCTTTCTTTTAAAATCTTTGATTTTGATCATGTAGATATTTTTTCGGTAATATTGGTATTCAGAAATTATACAACCGAATGATTTCATTCTGTGAAAATAATATTTTTTTGGCTATGCCAGATAGTATTTAATTAATCTATATTTCATCAAAAGTAATTAGGGCTCTCAAATGTGCAAGACCCCGCTTAGCCCCTCAAAACCAAACAGTAGTCCCCCCAAGTACATTGCAAAATGTACATTCGACTGTTTGTAAATAAATGTCGGTCATTGCCGATTGGCATTTGATAGTTTATCATAGAATATCCTTTTTTGCAAGTAACACACATTAAACAATATTTCTTTGCGTGAACTATGAACGTTAATCAACGAACGACAAGATAGTCAAAATAAGAATCCGCTGTACCTGAATAGAGCCACCCATCCTTTATCATATCATCCGTGGCCCTTTGGTTGTTTAGATAACCTTTCATCACCTGTGGACCCTTGAAGACGAACTCTCCTGTTTCACCGACACCTAACTCAGCACCCGTCTCCGGATTGACAACCTACGACATACAAGTTAATACTGACCATTAGATCGATAAGTTTATTGCTAGAGGGGTGGATTGATTTTGAAATTCTGTCAGAGTTTTGCTTGTAAACGAATCAGTGATATAACTATGCATTTGTGGGAGAATATTGTGATG